AAGCACACACGCTCTTAGGAGCAAGTTCCAGTTGGCTTTTGGAAGGATACCAAGGCACATGGAGGAAACCCACACAAAGACTGAAACAAATTAGCGCAGGGGTAGGCAACCTTGGCACTTCAGATCCCATAATGCCTCGGAGTCACACCTGTGGCTGCCAGAGTCTTGCAATGCCTCATGGTAGTTTTACAATATCAGGAGTGTCAAGGTTGCCTACCCATGGCTAACTATTCACATCTATATGCAAGCACTGGGGCAAGCATTGCAACACACACAGTAAAGTGTACATGTGCCATTATAGTTTCCCTTTAACAACACTGTAAACCGCAGGGCATATCAGTGAACAGGTCATACAGGAAAGAATGTGTTTTCCACCTGAAATGCATTTTCATGCAGTAAAATTCAGGTGTTTTACTGCAGGGAAATCATCAAATATGAATAGGACCTTAGCCTCCATGTTCATTATGCAAATATTGCTCCTCTAGAATAGAACTCAGGTTTACCCCTTTTTCCCATGATGCAATGAGTTGGAATTAAAATGGCTGCTGGAACACTCATAGTTAAGGCAAGACCCCTCCAAATGTCAATACATTTGTGGCCAGGGTCCTTTTGAAATTCTGGTATGTACTGGTGGGATCGGTGCTGGCCAGTTTACACGGTTCCCTTTAAGCAGAGCAGACAAACCCCTTGTACAATTATCCTGAGCAGCAAAGAGCTGGCCGATCTACAGCCACCAGCTTCATGTCAACGTCACGCTTGTGATCCTGCCATTGGCCAGAACTCATCAGAGGCATCATTGCTATGAAGGACAAAGTAGGGAGGTGAAACTCTCACCTGCTTGCATGTGTCGCTCTATTGTTGGCTGGACGAACAATGTGTCGCTTTGTCGACATCAAGTCAGCCTATCTGGCCCGCGAAAAAGCCGCACATACAAAATCAGGTGAGCGTTTCCCCTTCACGTTTTAGCGATCCCATAGCTGGCAACCAGGATCACAGGGGTGACATTGGCCCTACTGCCAAGAAGGCCTGTACAGGCCTGGGAGATTTTGTACGCCCAGAGCTATTTGGTTAATACTTGCATAGGAATTGCCAAATGCAGCATCAAAAATTCAAGGTCCTGACAGATGTAATCGGACTTCATAAGCCTAGGTATACGATTCTTTTTTTTTAAGGTCTAATAGGGTCACATTATGTGACATTTCAGTTACAAACACTCTGCAGGAACCTCTGCAACATCTTACTGAACAGCTGTAAACGCCAAGGCAAACATGTCATTATTTATCAGTGTCGTAAATAACAGTGAATAACACATTTAAACATACCAGCTGTGCTAGGATTTATTAAAAAAAACCTTGCAAAATACACCGGAGGGGGCAGAGGGACTTGGTAAATCCCACACAAGAGAATCGATGAGATGGAATCCAATCAGAGTTCTGCTTTCATCTTCTACGTATAGCAATAGGAAAACAAAAAGCACCGACCGCCATAGTGAATCCAGTTTTTAGAAATGTCACATCTGTCCTGGTGACCTTTAACCTTTGAAGCGTTGACATCACGTTTTCCTGCAACGTAGCTCCAACCTCCCTGAGGGTTAAGGCTGAAAGTTAGGCCCCGTGTATGAAACCATCTGAAAGAAAGTCTGTGTTGCCCTTACGGACCGAGAGCCGACATTCATATTTTTGGGGAGTAATGGGAAAAGCCAATTTGTCTTCCAAGTGGGGTGGATTTTCCTTGTTCAAAAGGACCTGTCACTTTAAATATCTTCCTTGTCTGTCAGTCAGTTTGGTGCAGTGATTGATACTATTGATTAGGGATGCACCGATACCGGTATTTTGGTATAAAGTACAGATATGTTTTTTTCGGTACTCGCCGATACCGAAAGTCCCATTCAGGAAGCCAGGCGGCGTTTTATGACTTGCCACCGGGCTTCCCGATTAGCAGGGAAGCCGACCCCATGCTTCTCATCACTAGGTGACAAAAAAGCATGGAGCCGGCTTTCTGGCCAATCAGCAAAGCGGGCGCTGTGTAATGACGCCCGGGCTCCTGATTGGTCGGGAAGCCGGCTCCATGCTCACTTGTTATGAGGTGACGAGGGAGCATGAAGCCGGCTTCCCAACCAGTCAGAAAAACCGGGCCAGCTTCCGACCAATCAGGAGTGAAGAGACAGCATGGAGCAAGGCAGCGTGTAATGATGCGCTGCCCAGCTTCCTAATACCAGAAGTATCAGGCTGGGCATCGGAGCATTTGGGCGCGTACGAGTACTCGCCCCAAACACTCGGCATCGGCACCGATACAATATTCTACATATAACATTTGACTTGACTTACAGTAAGCCACAATCTCATCTGAATGTTACAACACTCATTTTCTTGCATCCAGCCAATGCAGTTTAAAGCGACTCTATTGCCGTATATAAAAAAAATATAAAAGTGTATAAAATAATCGCCCTGTAAAAGAAAGCTGATAATACTGATGTCTCTGGTGGGTGGCGCGTCCCATCTTCCTTGTAAAGCTATAGTGGATGAAGAGTTGTGGTTCCATCCACCAGTCCCTAGGGGACACACAGTAGGAGCCAGCTGATGGAGCCACAGCGTGCAGCAGAGGACCAGCCATCCGACACACCCAGAAGCATGTAGAATGCAGAGGATTCTTCATCCACCATAGCTCTGAAAGATAGCGAGACGGGACATACCGACCGTCAGAAAGATATGTAGACGTGACTGAGACTTTAAATGTCAGGCAGAGGAAAAGCCATGAGTCTGAGAACCAGAGTAAGGCAAAGTAGAGTAATTTTTTTTGTAGATTCACACAAACGGAAGCAGATTATAAAGTAGCAGCTATATTTGCCCCACTGTCCTGGGAAGGCCTTTCACAAGATATTGGAGCGGGTCTGGGGAAGTTTGTGCCCATTCAGCCAAAAGAGCATTTGTGAAGTCAGGTACTGATGTTGGAGAAGACCTAGCCTGCAACTGGCATTTCAATTCAACCCTAAGGTGTTTAGTAGGGTTGAAGTAAGGGCTCTGTAGGCCACTCAGGTCCACTGGGCCATCCCAATGAGGCTACCTGAGGCGCTTGCCTCAGGCAGCATTTCATTGGGTCATGTAGGGGGGGTGGCAGGTGCACTTGCTGCCCCCTTTCCAGCCCTGGCGTCCCAGGTTGCTAGGAGCTCTAAGCAACCTGTGACACTCTGGCCAGCATCCCGCCCAGCTTGCCGACGTCACTGGTTGCCAGGAGCCAAGTGGGATGTCATCCACCACAAGCCACCAAAACCTCCCCAGGAACATGCATCAGGACAACACCGCATATCTCCACACACCCCCGGCCTCAGGCCACGAGATATCTAGGGATGCCCCTGCAGGTCCATCTACACTAAAACTCATTAAACTAGTCTTTATGGAGCTGGCTTTGTGCAGAGACACAGCCATGCTGAAACAGTCTGAATGTGATTGGTCAGGTGTCCACAGCCTTGCAGCAGTATTAGAACACCTAAGACCTTGCACCAAACAAATTAATGCCAAGCTTTAAAGAATAAAGGCCCTTTTTAATGATTTTTTTTTTCAACATCTTTGGGGGGAATCAAGTTGGAAGCACTGTTTGCCTCATCTGTGCCAGTCTCATAACACAGGTCAAAGTCAGATAGAAAGATATGAGGCTAGGTTCCCACCCTCGGCGACACCCAGAACGTGCGATCATGTGCTAGTGCACACAGCGGTTGCCGCGTGGCCCTATTGATTTCAATGGGGTGACATCCGCGCGGCAATCGCTAAAAAAAGGTACAAGTAACTTTTTTTACGACACACAGCTTTTTTTTAGCTGCAATCAAGTTCACTTGCACGTGCGAAATCGCAGCGGGAAACCACACAATCTGCTTGGCGCGACTGGGGTGCCATTAGAAAATAATGGCACCCACAGCACAATTGCTGCACAGTCAGGAGTCGCCCAGGTGTGAACCTAGCCTAAGCCTTGCGCACCATCTACCTCCACAAAAAGGAGAACTATGGGGTTAAGGCTTTTCCAAATAGTTCTCCTTAGGGTAACGGGAGGACACAAACTAGCGTCCTCCCGTCACCCTAGGCTCAGTATACTGAGGCGCCGCAGTGCACCGCGTGCTGCTAGCTCGCGGAATACTGAGACGCCGCAGCTGAAGCGGATCCCGACAATTATGTCTGGATCCGCCCAGCTGCGTGACCGACAGTTGGCTCTGCCTATCTAGAGGCAGAGCCAGCTATACCCGCCCCCTCCCCCGTAAAAAAAAAAAAAAAAAAAAAAAGAAAAAAAAAAAGTTAAAAATAAACTCTTGAATGAAAGGAAAACATTTCCCAAGTGCCAGGGAGACCTGGCGTCAGTATGTCTTCTGCTCTAGCTAAGGGCAACACGTTTCCTCTTTCGGATCCTTTCATAAACGAAGCCCCCAAGTGGTTGTACTGGAAACGCAGTCTTGAATAACAGTGGTTAAAATCTAATTTTTAAAAAAAATACATCAAAAGTTTGGTTAAAAAAATACTGCAAGGAGAGTCAGCTGCACCCCGATGACGATGACTGGCACCAACAGGTAACCCAGTTTTTCTTTTTTTTTTCCGGACTAACCCCACCACAGTTCATACGTATATACTCAAACACTAGAACAGCGTTGGAACATGCACACTTGTTGTCCTCGTTTTCTGTGAAGGAAATGTAAAATTCCAGATTGTACAGCAACGCACTTCCTGTCTTAAAAATCACCTGGCGGCAGAAGGGTTGCAAAGGGCGCAACAATGTCCTACGTGTGCAAAAGTTCTGTGCGTACAGGTTAGGCTTCCTTCGATAAACACATTCGCGTTTCTCCCCCCCCTCTTGGCGGGTCCAAAAGTTCCAAAAGGGTGGAATATTTCACCGTCTATAAGTCCTTGAGAAATTAAATAAATAGTACAAAAATAATCCTTTTCGTTAAAAAGTGAGATGCATTTTTTTAAAAGAAACTATTAACAATTCTACTCATTGTGAGCACAGTTTTTTTTTCTCTTTTTTTCTAAACAAATATTGTCGTCTGTTTTAGTTTTTCTTTCCAGCTTAATAAAAAAAAAAGTCCTAGACCCTTCTTTTGTTGCAGTTGAGACCCTCTAGTTTCCATGGTGATATAGCCACTTTCTATTTAAATACTAGATTTGGAAGGGTCAGCACCCACTCTGAAGTTGTCCACAAAATCGCAACCATTGGCAGCAAATGCCTGGGGTGGGGGGGCTTTTAAAAAAGGCAGTTATGGCACATAGGGTCTGTGATTGGCTGGCGCCTCAACGGCCCAAAAGTTCATCAGCATTCCGCGTCTACAGAATGCACAGTGACGGCAGCCTGTAGGTGGTGGCTGTGGTGGAGAGACGGGTGATGCAGTCTGTAATGGTGGTGAAATTTGTGGCTTAAGAGAGCTGCAGTCTGCGGAGGGGTGTCCGGCTCTAGATCTTCGTCGTGGTTCCCGACATCCACCCCCGCCGATAAGGGGTCGTTATTGCACGGCGGATTTTCGCTGTCTTCCTGCGGACTCATCGTGCTGTAACCTGTGAAGAGAAGGATACATTAAAACACAATTGAAGGCACACACCTTTTTTGTCCCTTTATAGTGCTGTAACCCCCCCCTGCATGTTATATTTGGGGGATTTTTTTCTTAGCATAGTAAAGCCTTCTTAGAACAGAAGTTATTTACATGTCTCACATATCCCAGAAATAAGGAGAAAACGTCATGTCTGTGAGGAAGCTGAAGCTTGGGCATCACTGGACCTTCCAACAGGACAATGACCACAAACATACCTCAAATTCCACCAGGGCTCTGCTGCAGAAGTAGTCCTGAAAGACTACAGTGGCCATCACAGTCACCTGACTTGAACGCCATAGAAAGCCTCCGGTGGGATTTGAAGAAGGAGGTTGCTGCACCCAAACCCAAGAATATTAGTAAACTGGAGGTCAATGCTTTTAAGGAATAGGTTAAGAATTAAGATCCCTCAGGAACGCTGCCAGAAGCTGGTGTCTAGCTAAGATCTCGTTTACAGCAGGTCATAACAGCAAAAGGGTGTACTACTAAGTACTTTTGAAGTGTTGAAAGGGTTCCGAGATGGCAGAAATCATTTAAAACTTGCATTTTCAGTTTAATTTGTGGAAACCACTTAAAGCATTCGTTGTGCTGAGCTATTTCAATTGTTTTAGCTTGATTTGTTCATTACAAACAGCTGAAAAGTCTGTCAAGTTTGCCAATAAACCTGATGTGCATTTGCGGTTGAATCATTTTGATCAGAACTGTATGATGTGTCACAAGGGGGGGGGCTCCTTTAATGACAATGCAGGTTATAAGGCTGGAAATGTTTGACGAAATACCCAAGAGTGACCAAGCAGCATATGACCTGGATCATAGCATGGCACCTCCTCAATTGGTTTCCCCCTGCACGGATCACTTTAAGTGTATATAAACCCCAACAATGGACCATTTATTTGCTCTCTTTTGTTTTGGTTTCTTAAATCTGTTAGATAAATGCAAACAAATACCTATTGATCTGGCCAGTCCGAGAGAACTTCTTACTATATGCCTATGCTTCACTGAAATCTCAAGCAATGTTATCAGCCCTAATCAGTTCTCCTCCTTTGTGTCTACAACCCCCCTCCCATGTTATGGAAATTAGAGGAAATGGGGACACGAGGAGAAGGGGGGGGACACGAGGAGAAGGGGGGGGACACGAGGAGAAGGGGGGGACACGAGGAGAAGGGGGGGGACACGAGGAGAAGGGGGGGACACGAGGAGAAGGGGGGGGACACGAGGAGAAGGGGGGGACACGAGGAGAAGGGGGGGGACACGAGGAGAAGGGGGGGACACGAGGAGAAGGGGGGGAGAAGAGGAGAAATTAGGAAATTAACCAACATGAGTGAATATATTTTTTTTTAAATACACATTGCTTAGTCTACAGCAAACTTCGAGCATCCACCTGTTCCTATAGAGCTACAAAAACAGAAAACCAAAGTTTAAATACCCTTTTATTACAAATACACAACAAGAGACTGAAACGTTCCTTACCATGATCGCTTTCTGTACCCGATCGCCCCCAGTATCGCCGTCGTCTCTCTGGACTGTGTGCATGGCGTTCCATCACTGCTGCTATAAACCTGGTGTTACTGACTACAGAAAAAACAAACAACAGCCATCATTACATCACTGAACAGGTCTGCACGCTTGTGAAAACAACACTATATACACTTACTGATTCCGCGATCCTCGTGGCTGTCGTCATCACGCTCATCGCGGTCATTTTCCAGGTTAGACATGCGGACAGACATTTCTGTGAAGGAGTAAATGTCATTATAAGATGTTATGCTGTTAGGCCCCGTTCACACTTAGCGATTTATCGCGCGGTAATTCCCGCGATATCGCAATTTACCGCGCGATATCGCTCTTCAATGCTTCTCAATGGGGCAAAGGGTCCTGTTGTCGCGGGTCGTGTGTCGCTACAGCAGGATACTTTTTGGAGCTGATTTAGCCGCGATTCAAGCTTGCTCAATGCAAGCATTTGCGCGATATATCGCGCAAAATGCAAATCGCGCAACAAACGCGCGATTCGCGAATCGCCAAGTGTGAATGGGGCTTTAGGTTGTAAGCTAAATGTGGTTTCCAACTCTAATACATGTTATAAAAGTACAGACCTCCACTGAAAGCATGGCAGTCATTAAAACCTTACTGTGCACTCAACTGATTCTTCAGCTGTAAACTTCTCAACATAACCCTAGAAATGTACAAAGCTGAGTGGCCTACATTCTGTGCGTTACTATGCTCTAGGTCCATATTAGTAAGTAGGAATGAACTTACTTATTAATACTGCTAAAAAAAAAGAAAGGGGCATCAGTTTTGGGTGAACCGACTATTCAATTTTTTGTAAACTTCTGGGAAGAGTATCAAAAACTAAAAATGTTTCTCATGAGAATGAAATGTCTGCCCCTGCGGGTTACTCCTCCTGCTCAGGAGCCTACAACACCGTATTTAAATATCATATTAAAAATACCTTGAGCTGCCAGAGGTGACATGTGCTGGTGGCTCCGCCGATGGATCTGGTGACGGTATGCATAGACAGCCAAGACTAAAACCATAATACAGCCCATTATGCCTCCGGCTACAGGTCCGACTGGGGCACTCTTAATCATGTTCAGAGTGATGACTTCATCGCCTGTTAAACAGTTAAAAAGTACAAAATGTTTTCAGTGCAGAATTTACATTTTTTTTTTTTTAAATACCGAAACCTTTCAGAATTTAACGTGCGCTTTATATTCTTAGATATCAAATGTACAATAGCGAGCAAATCCAAATATGTTACTTGCTTCCCACACTGCCTTGGAGCATCTGTCAGGAACCAGGAGGCATGCAGTTCCGTTCCACTATCTACCAACGGGTGTCTCTCAGCAGTCCTCGGTAATTAGTCACCACCTGGTGCTGGCTGCTGGGAAGGTATTTAGTCCCTCCTTTCCAAGCCCACTTGGCCTCTGCACCCTGTTCCTGCTACCTGCTCCTTGTGACCCTCTTGATACTGGCTCTCTGGCATTTCCACTATTTGTTAGTGTTTTGCACAGAAATACATAATTTGCATTCAATGCAATTATAGCTCTGCTTCCAAGTGCTTGCAACATTTCGGAGACTGAAGGACTGTGCTGGGACAATGAGTGAGCCATGTGCAAAAGCCAGACTTAAACAATCTTTGTTCACAGAGTTTTTTTTTTTTTTTTACTAGCCATAACGAAAATTGCTTTAAGGAATAAATGGAGAAGACAACTCAAGCATGAGATAGCTTTTCCTGTGCAGATTGCTTATATAGCGAGCCCTTCAAAATTGAAGTGCTGTTGTAGTGCCAGAAGCAGGTCATACAAGAGGCAATTTTTTAACACCGTTTTGTCCACCAGCTTTTGAGTGAAAAAATACAATTAAAAAGGATTAAAGAAGCTGAAGTATACATATACTTTACCTATGGTATTCATGTCATCTGCGTAAGGACTTTTAGCACCGACGATGCCACCAAAACATTCCTTCTGTAGAGCGCAGTACGGACGGTCTAGGTGGGTCTTTCCATCACTCTCTACCATACACCACTCACAGTCAAGGACCCCGAAACAGTAACTAAGGAAGAGAGGAGGGTTCTATTACTGCAGGGGAATATATTGGGAATATATTGGGATAATGGATACATTGGGACTGTTCTGCTTTGTCTATAGAGAAATGGATGCATGGTGAACTATACCTTACATTTTGTTAAGAGTACTGGGTTTATTTTTAGATTTTGCCCTATAAAGAAAGGGTGTTACATTGGATGAACGTGTCTGGATAAAGTGTCAGCCTGATGGGCCTCAAGTTCATCTGATTTGATGATAATAATAAACATAAGTCCCATTAATGCAGAGAATTTAAATCGAGAATGGCAACATTCTGGGTGAATGAATACATTGTAGCTGTTAAAAACAAACAGATCCACATAACACTGTTAAGGTTGGAGGTACCTGCTCTCCATTCTTTGGGTACAGCCAGTGTTGACACACTGAAATAGAGCTTCTTGAAGGTTTGGGTCGAGCATGGTAAACGTCATTGGCTCCTGATGGACTTCACAGCTCGGGTTCCTGAGTAACATTTAAACACAAAAAAGTAACAATTGGTCAGCAAATATGAAATATTCAACTCGGATATGATTGCTTGGCTATTTCTAGAACCTGCCTTCATGCTATGTGTAAGGAAATGGTTCTTGGGAGATGTAGTTTTGGAGAAGGTGGGGGAGCAACATGTCTATGTCACTAGGAAGTGAGCCAACCAGCAACTGCAGCTTTAAGAAATTTACTAGTCTAGTAAAAATGTCACGAGAAGAAATAAAAGCCGTTTCATACTACAGGAAGAAGGAAAATAAAAAATAATGCTGGGCCATGATCTAGAGGACCTTATGGGGAGTAAATTTGGGTCATGCCCATACGTAAGTCTTTAGATCTTACCTGCTTTCTGCATTTGTCAGGTTGCCAGTGCACTCATTGACCTCCAGGGGGCACTCACAAGGACACTCGCATTCATTCTGTTCCATCCTAGCAGAAATAAAACAACATTCTGTAAATCGCGGAAAATTTAAGATTCTGCTACAAGGTGGGTCAGGAGTCAGCTCAGTATATACTTTATGTCTTCACTTTGGGTTCGTTGTCACAATCAATAACTGGCATACCAGCTTTGAACTTGTTTTACGCAAACAAAATCGCCACTGGCAAAAAAAAAAACAAATTAATTTGACACAAAATCTCTTCTTTGATGTATCGAAAGATTGATTTCAAACAAAAGGGTTTTGTTTTGTTTTTTAACGGATGCAACCGGTGATTTTGTTGTAAACGCTGGGTTCACACCTTAGCGTATTGGAAACTCGCGTTTGCCGCACGTTTCTTACTGCGTTTTGCGGTAAAAGGAATGCACTGAAAAAGCGAGTTTCCGAGGGGGTATCCGGCTGGATCCTGACGGATCCTGATGGATACAGCGGGATACGCGCATTAATACACCCCATAGAAGCTCCTGTGCTCAGGTGTGAACCGGGCCTAAAGAGGACCTGTACTGTGGAAGCTGTGCTCATAAAAAGCAAGCAGAACCCAAGCAATGACTGGTGATCTGATGACTTGTGGGAGAATATTAAAGCAGCAGCAGGAAAGAAGGAAAAAGCACAAATCAATAGAAATGAGAAAGCAGAAGCAGGGAGATTCTTGCACTGCAGGTCCTCAGGTACAGCTTCTTCTCCAACAAAGAGAACATTGAGCAGCACGGTAACATATAGCCGAATCTCACTCCAAATCTGGTGAGACTATCAGAGGCAGCAGTGCCTTAGATTATCTGACTCTGCAGGACAGGAGTGCCTAGGCACAGTCACATGACAGGAAGTGCACTGCTATTCCTTAGAAGGAATTTGCAGCAAAACATGCTTTTTCAGGGAGCTGCTTAGGCAGTTATCCTTCAGTAAAGCAAATCTTCACTTTTTAATTTAAGGTCCACTTTTATGGGTCTCGTGATAACCAATTTGCAGAGCCATTTGCTCTACGTATCTTTCTGAACGTTAGTTCTGAGCAAATAGACACAAAAATAAATGTTTTTGGATATATTTTCTTTTCAGGGCCAATGTATAATGTCTTCAGCGAAGCCACTAGATGGAGCTGAGAAGCATAGAAAATACTTTTCTGACACTCCTCAGCTCTGACAAGTGGCCAAAATTCAGAATTACATCACAAACATTCGACCTGAAAAGAAAATATATCTAAAAATGTTAATTTTTTGTGTCTCTTTGCACAGAAATGAATGTTCAGATAGATTTGCAGGGTGAATGGCTCTGCCCATTGGTTATAAATAGACCCCTAAATGTAAGGCCAGCATGAGTTTGTCTGCAGCTGACATACCTGTGGCAATTAAGGCACAGCCGGTCCACCATGCTGCAGGCACAGAAAGCCAGCGAGTCGCAGGTCTCATTCACAATCCCAACAAATGCATTGGTCCCGGGGATCCTAGTCAGGCGATACTTGGAACAGTGACTGCCATGAACGAGGTTGGTGAGATCACCCTAAAAGAAGGACAAAGTGTTACACGAAAGCAAGTTCCGCTATTGTTAGGATTTGCATTATAAAGGTCATCATGTTACATTTGCACATTTCTGATTTCCAATATAGCTTCAAGGTTACCTACCTTACAATGTGCAGGAGGCAGAAAGGGGCAGGCAAGCGTCAGCAACAGGGTGTGCTAAAGCATTGCCTGACAGAATGGTCCGGCATTTGGCTATTAGTGATGGGCTCGGGCGTGTTCGCAGCTCCACGTGCCGAGGCTTTTTTGTAGGCAGCTGCAGGTATTTTTAAATGTATGTTCAGGGGCTACCCAAAAGTACCCCCAAACCTCCTCTACTCCCCATTAAATCATGTCCCAGCATTCATTTTTTTTGCTGTACCTTGCACCTGTAGAAACACTATTTACTTTGCATCTGTAAAAAATAAGTCAAGGCATCTGGAATTGCTCTATTTTTCTTCAAGACGTATCGCTGGTCATCCAACCAGCTTTCTCAATTCAGAATTTAGAAAGCTGGTTGGATGGCCAGTGAAACTTCATCAGGAAAAATACAGCAAGTCCAGTTGCCTTGACAATTTTTACAGATATACCATGACCTGGATGAATGAGAACCTTCACAGACTATTTACTTTGCGCAACGCCGGCCTTGTAAAATTCTTGCAGGGGCAGCTGCAGCTTCCTATGGATGTAAGCGTGCCTCCCAGAACTACATCATTTAGTGTGTGAACAGACTCTTGGGAGCCGAGAAAGCAGGGCTGATTTGTTGGGAAAAAAGCAATATACAGTATACATGTGGAAGGTCAAAGAGGGGATGGGATAGGCAGAGTTCTGTAGACCAGTAGGCAGGATTGACAACACTGGTTGGGATTTCAGTGTAAAAAAAGCACTGTGCTGTCAACTCAAACAAAAAGATAGGAGAACAATTACTTAACCACTTGCCGTCCGCCCGTTGTAAAAAAACGGACAGACGGCACTGCAGCATTGGCGGGTTGCCAATGCATTTTTTTTCTGCTCGCGCGCGCCCCATAGCGGGCACGCACGGGCAGAAAAGACCCGACAAATGCAAACACCCGTTACTGGGTGTTTCACATATAGACGATCGGCGGCTCCATAGCCCGCCGATAGTCTATATGTGCTCGTTTTTTCTGCTTCGTTGATCTCTGCTTCATCAGCTTCTTTTGGGGTCCACAGGTGACATTAGGGGTCCTAGAGACCCCTAATGTCTCCATAAAGAGGACCTGTCAGTGTGCCTTTGCTATTATATAGGGGGATTGTTATCCCCCTATATAATAGCAATAACAATAAGTGCAAAAAAAATATATATATAAATAAAAAAAATAAAAGTAACATATAAAAAAGTAAAATAAAATAAAAGTCACATATAAAAAAAGGGGAAAAAAACCCCCCAAAATGTTTAACTCCCCCACCCCCACGTTTACGCGCCTATAAACGTAAATACGCGTCCGGTGCCCCAGCGCGCAAAAATTACAATTGCGCTACACATGTTACATATCGCCGCGAACGTCGCAGTGAGAGCAATCATTTTAGGGCCATCAATCACTGATAACACTAAACTGATGAGCGGTAACAGCTTTTAAAGCGTCGCCTAGGGCCAATTTTGGGTATTATCGTTTTTTGAGGTTTCGCGCGCGCACGCAATTTTAAGGCTTGACATGTTTAGTGTCTTTTTACCCGACGTGACCCCATCTTTTATATTTTACCAAAAAATTGGGTAATAATAAATGTTTTATCATTTAATATAGGGGAAACTGTTTTTTTTTTTAAATTTCGGTAATTTTTCCTTAAAATAGTAAAAAAATAAAACCCCCAGTGGTGAATAAATACCACCAAAAGAAAGCTCTATCTGTCCCCAAAAAAGGGTATAAAATTCATTTCAGTACAGCGCTGCATGACGGAATAAATGTCAAAGTACCGCAGCGCTGAATACTGAAAAATGGCCTGGATGGGAAGGGGGTTTAACACCGCGGATGTCAACTGGTTAACAGGAATTTTTCTGCATTTGCAGCTTTTTTAAATGCATATAATGTGGGAAACTGTACATGAGAGATACAGTATACTTATTTTTTTACTTTTTTTATTATTGGTCACCGCCATTACTTCAACGCAGTGCAGGAAGCTGCCATTGCCTTAAGTGGTACCAGGTATTGGGCACAACAGACCTTCCACGTGGTAACAAATCTGTCCCAGAACTAGCGGTATTTCTAGATGTCAGGACATGGCAAGTCTTTAGCCTCAGTTGTCATGACAGGTTCTCTTTATTATGAAACAAAGAAAACAGCCTTGCTTCTTAGTGTGCTTAAAAACTTACAGCAACTAGAATGCAATTGTCTTTTCTTAAATAGAGGTTTGAGAAAGAAAATAAAAATCTGACTGGCTGCTGGGGGCAATACAGACGGGTTTTAATCATCACACTTTGAAGAAAGAATCCTACAGATCAGCTTTTTTTTTGTCTTTTGCTAGAAAGTTTCCCTTTTTACTCCAAATTTAAGAAATCGAGATGCACAGATTGCTGAGCCCTTCTCATCTTTAGCAGAAATGTAGGTCGGCAGATGCAAGGCCTTTGATGGATACATCTCAATAACGAGCTCATTAGTGTAAAGAGAATGTTTCATCTCATAAGGAAAACTTACCAACAGGCTGGTGTTAAACTTGTAAAACCTCTGCACGGTTCTGTCGCTGAAGCTGTTGCAGAGATTTTTCTTGACAAAGTTGGGGTGGTTCAGGATGTCATTTGCCACGAGGGGCTCCTGGAATAGAAATCAGAGATAGATCAGGTATAGTAGTCTCAGTGATTAACATGAACCTGCCAGAAAAAGGCCATCAACCCGGCAAGCGCCTGATATCCATGATATGGCCAAAGGTTTGTGGCCACCTATCACACCTACCCATATGGTCAAAAGCACATGGACAGCCCTCATATTGAGTTCAGGTATTCCCAGTGAAGGGTACTGTTAAAACTACCGCGTACAAAGACATTTTATACAAGCGTGCTCTTCCAAACTTGTGGGAAAAGTCTGTGGAAGGTACTTATGTGTTACAGCAGGGGTAGCCAAACTCCGGCCCTCCAGCTGTGGTGGAACTACAAATCCCACGAGGCATTGCAAGATTCTCACAGCCACAGACATTACTCCCAGAGAGAGATGCATCATGGGATTTGTAGTTTCACCACAGCTGGAGGGCCGGAGTTTGGCTACCCCTGTGTTACAGTGTTCCCATGTGCACAAATCCAGATTCATAAAGACATGGTTTGATGGATTTGATGTGGAGGATTCTCTAATTACCTGCTCAGAACCCTGGCCTCAACCCTACTAAATACCGGGATGAATTGGAATGCTGACTGTGAACCTGGGTTTCTCATCCATCAGTACCTGGCCTCACACATGCTTTTGTTGCTGAATGGGCAGACATTTCAAAATCTTGTGAAAAGCCCTCCCAGAAGGCTATACAGTAACTCCAAATCTTTCAAAGCTCATGGTCAGGGTACATGGTCAGGTGTCCACAAACATCTGGCCATAGAATGTAAGACACGACATGAAGCTACACAGTACCTCTGCCTTAAACTAAAATAGGTCTCCAGGTGTATCAAATAAAGGCCTTGCATCTGAGGACTGATGAGGTGGGGGCCTTTAAACAACTTCTTATCACTAGATCTGCATCCATACCTCTTAGCTATGGGTAACTATACTGAGCCCTATGGTGAGCTATATTCACCTGCCTTGTTCCCTGTCGACCCTCACCCCTGTCCCCTCCTCCTCCATGTACCTGCATCCTTGTTGGGTTCATATCTGGCAGAATTCAGAACTGTTTCCGCTCTACCTCCAAGTGGCCCACTCTGAGGACCTCGGATCCTGCACTGCACTAGTAACGGTCTAGAAATGGTACAGTTAATTTTGTAAATTCAGTGATGTCAGCATTATTATGAGCCCAGAGCTCTGGACCTCAGTTGTAGTTGCAATTTTTGTTTCCCCTTTCTCTTTCTGAAACAGTTACGTTATATGTTCAAATGGCAATAAAAACATATTATATACCAAAAATCTTTACTTTAAAACCCTAATTAAACTCGGATCTGTGGGGTACTGGGTATGCAAATTTATTGACTCAGAACTCATGCACCCTATACATCCCACAACATCTCAACAGATTGCTGTGGCAGTTATAATGCAAGCACTTTATAATCAAATCCAAGACCAAAAATTGTCTGGCATCAGTTCACAGGTATATATCAGATGCTCTTTGTTGGCAGTGTCGCTTTAAGAGTTGCTGGTTGATGTGGGGGTACCTTGTGAGTGATGTGCTGCTGTTCCGCTGGAGCATGGCCTTTAGGGTCAATGAGTGTAGGATGCGCCACAAGGTAACCTCTGTCCTCCATGATGAAGCACCTGGTAGAGCAAAAAGACCTAGTTACAACACACACACAGTGCAGATCTCTTTGAAGAATGGATCTCCCTTGTTATTAGAATCCTACGCATGGGTGACTGAGTTCAAGGTATGTGGGCACTTAGGCAAAGAATGTTCTGTGCTGTGCAGCCAACCGCCTGGACAGGAGGAAAACTCTCCGAATTATTCCAGTCAACTGAGTAACAGGATTATGGAATAATCTACAAGACCAAACTTTTATAATTTTCCTGGTCTTTCAAAGCCCGGTAGAAACAGCGTCATTGTGACTAGTGTTTAATGATATAACCCAACGTGTTTATTAAGATCCATCAGAACAATTCAAGAGCAAACCTAAAATTCACTTTCTGTTGCGAATTTCTCTCCTCCCTCCAGAACTGGTGCCCTTTAACAGAACTAGGTCAGACATCAATTTAAAAGCATTTGCATTTTAGTGGTAAACCCATGCTGAGAACTGGGCTATCCGGGGAAATAGAAAGTGCACTTTAAGGCCTGTTCAGATGGAAGCTGAATTCTTTATTTGTGCAACATTCCTCCAGAACTAAGGAAACACGGAAGATCAAACAGGCAGCCACAGCCTAAAAGCTGCAGAAGATGTTCAGGTCAGTGCAATGCAAAAATGAAACACTGAAGTGAAAATTCAACACCCACGACTATGGGGTGCTTGAATAGGTGGTTATATATAGGTGTCTTGCTGCACTCCTTCCCAGCATAGGATGTTCCTTGAAATACTGGTGGGTGCTCATAGTGATCACGGATGGCGCCGTGAAAATATACAAGTTTGCAAAAGGATGTCACCAGCGCACCATTTAAGCGAGATCAGCAAAAGTCCATTTATTAATGGAGTACTGTCATTCCAGTACAAGCGCTTTCGGGGCCGCACAAGGTCCCCTTCATCAGGCTCAGAATGACAATCGCTTGTACTGGAATGAGAGTACGCCATTAATAAATGGACTTTTGCTGATCTCACTTAAATGGTGTGCTGGTGACATCCTTTTGCAAACTTGAATAGGTGGTTAAGCGCCTCTGATGGCCACTTGTGTTGTACTACTACTGATCACTTTTTGGCTGCTGTATGTCTTGGTAAAACCAATGGTGGAATTATTATTATTATACAGGATTTATATAGCGTCAACAGTGTGCGCAGCGCTTTACAATATAAGGAAGACATTACAATCACAATACAATGCAAGACAAGATGGCAAGGAGGGCCCTGCCCGTGAGGGCTTAAATCACCGAGAGAGATTTTGCAACACTAGTGTCCCCTGCTATGAATACACATTGCTCTCAGAGAGGTTGTGAACATTTGTAATGGCCAAGTCAGGTGGGAAGAACTAGAAACTGAGGTCTGCCGCTGGAGTCTCCAAGAGGCCAGAAAGGATTGGCAATCGGCCTACTTGCTCAACAAAGCACTGACTTATTGTAAGATTTGTGTGAACTGGCCCTTTAAAATACATGCAGGCCCGCACAATAAAACCAAAAGAAAAGAAAATGACAAGGGCAGACAATCTTAGTAACCAAACACGTTTTGGTTTACTGAAGCCAAACCGGAAAACGTTTTGCGCTGACTAGTAGGCGAGAGATACGGTTTCTTGCCTCAGTAAATCTTTCGGAGCCTTGTTCCAGTGCAAACATTAAAAAAAAAGTCAGATCACTTTTCTATCCTGTCATTACACTGCTTCTTCACAACTTTTTGTTGGACTCTCTCACAGAATGGACTTACACAAATAGATACATCACTGCCCTGTTTTGTCCTACCTTATTTTGTTGCCGCCATCTTGGTTGCAGACAGGAAGAAGTTCCATGAGCACTTTGTAGAAGTACCGTAGGGTGAAATCAATGCCCATCACGGCGACCGTATACCCGGCTGAAACCTGACCGCTTAATACAATAAAAAGAGAATAAAAATGTAAGTGCCTGTGTAAACAGACTTTAGACCTGTGTAGATAGAAACATTCAGCGTGATTGTGACATCAGTTTGAGAAGCTCCTTAGAACATTCACAATTCACTGACAGGTGCATTTGAGCTGCAGTCTGTTTCCTTCTAACCTTTAGGCCTCATTCACACCAGAGGCAGTGCGTTCCGGCCCGATTCTGGCCAGAACGCACTGCCTCGCATTGCGGCTGGCTCACTTTGTGGGGCAGGAGGGGGCGTGGTGGTCCATTGAAGTGAATGGTACCATAGCCACGCCCTCCAGCCGCACGGGATCGCAAGGCACATTATGCCTGCGGTCTAGTCCGATCAAAATGCTGCAATGCTGCTTTGATCGAACCGGAACGCAGGCATAATGTGCCTTGCGAGCCCCTGTGGCCGGTGGGTGTGGCTACGGTACCATGCACTTCAATGGACCGCCACGCCCTCTCCTGCCCCACAAAAGCCGGCCGCAATGCGATGCAGTGCGTTCTGGCCAGAATCGAGCCGGAACACACTGCATCTGGTGTGATGAGCTCTTAAACAACCTGCTTCAAGATGCTTTTGCACTCAAATAGATCTTCATGCGGGGAAAGGCAGTTCTGACAGAGGCCCTTAGGTAAAGCTTGCTGTCCAGCTGTGTGGGAACTACAAGTCTCAAAAGGAGGCCTGTTAGCAGTTTCACCACCTGGAAGAAGACACACATACTCTAACTACTTCTAATTTGGGTCAAAAGTCCCAGATATGAACCATCGCAGGTTCATGTTACATACCTAGTTACATAGTATTTGGGGTTGAATAAAGACATACGTCCATCAAGTCCAACCCATGTAGTATGTGAAAACATGTCTTACACATGAAGTGTTGATGTCTGCTTTTTCACTAAAGGAAAACATGGAAGTATGATAAAGGTGTCCTGCAAGGGAATCTAATGGGTGCAAAACCTTTTGGCCTATAAAGTCCCTTTGTCATCAGAGAAAGCTGGGTCATGTGTTAGAGTGGGGCATTCTCACCTGGGAGACTGGACAGTGTGACTTATAGTGACCACGTAGCCTGCTCCTCCCACATCCAGGTACGGTCCAGTAAAAGTGATGAGGCCAGGATTGGCTAAAGCGTGAAGATACCTAACAAGCAATGATAAACAGGTCAGAAAATGAAGGTTAGAGATAGTCTGCACACGTGCCTTTTTATGTTGCCACATATGTGTTCCAATTATCACAAACAGCCGATATAGACAAATGATTTACTGTACTAACCTACACAACTACTAGCTTTCGGACAATTACCCTTTTGGCTCAGGTCACGCTGCCTGCAATGATCAATGTGTTCTTCAACACGCACAGAAATGTGCCATCACATGCTGCTGTATGGCTCACCTGTGACTCCCGGGCTGAGTTATATGACCAAAATGTACGCTGTATGGCCGTGGACAAGAGCCCTTAGGAAGAGTGTTACACCAACTGAGTGCAATCTTTTTCTTCTAGTGTGATGGAGCTAATCTATGTGTATATAGAGCTGCAAGGCTGAACTGGATAAAAAAACTTAATTTAATGGATCAGAGCAGCCTTTCTGAAGCAGGGTTCCAGGACACCCTGTGGTACCTTCCTTTTAAATTTTTGCACAGTGTCATGCATTTCCATGGTGCAGCTGAGCCAGCCACCAGCACTATGGAAATGCGTGAAACTAATCTAGGACGTGTGGTATCCAGGACCTCACCCAGCATTCAGGGAGGACAAAAATCTGCTTCTGTCAAGGCCTTTCCTCCACCTCCTGCCCTCTGCCATGCTGCCACTGATGCACTGTGGTGAAGATTGTAAGGTAGGTTACCTAGATGTGAAAGGGTGGGGGTTGGTGCTCTGAGGCGACGGGAGGGGGACCCTGAGGCGACGGGAGGGGGACCCTGAGGCGACGGGAGGGCGACCCTGAGGCGACGGGAGGGCGACCCTGAGGCGACGGGAGGGCGACCCTGAGGCGACGGGAGGGCGACCCTGAGGCGACGGGAGGGCGACCCTGAGGCGACGGGAGGGCGACCCTGAGGCGACGGGAGGGCGACCCTGAGGCGACGGGAGGGCGACCCTGAGGCGACGGGAGGGCGACCCTGAGGCGACGGGAGGGCGACCCTGAGGCGACGGGAGGGCGACCCTGAGGCGACGGGAGGGCGACCCTGAGGCGACGGGAGGGCGACCCTGAGGCGACGGGAGGGCGACCCTGAGGCGACGGGAGGGCGACCCTGAGGCGACGGGAGGGCGACCCTGAGGCGACGGGAGGGCGACCCTGAGGCGACGGGAGGGCGACCCTGAGGCGACGGGAGGGCGACCCTGAGGCGACGGGAGGGCGACCCTGAGGCGACGGGAGGGCGACCCTGAGGCGACGGGAGGGCGACCCTGAGGCGACGGGAGGGCGACCCTGAGGCGACGGGAGGGCGACCCTGAGGCGACGGGAGGGCGACCCTGAGGCGACGGGAGGGGGACCCTGAGGCGACGGGAGGGGGACCCGTCACCTCAGGGTTTTTGCATGAGGGTCTGGGATAAGTGTCTGGTATAGATTTTAGGGGGAACCGCACATCATTTTTGGATGACATCAGACTAGAGACATGCTCTGTGTGCGCTGACTTCTTTTGTTATCTTTCCTGGCATACAAGTTGGAATTGTATTAAGTCAGGTTGTGTTACATTGCATACATTGTTTTGATTGTTTCCAGTTTAGTACGCATACCAGATTCAAGGAAATTTACTATTAGAGTTTTATGTTCCCAAGATGCCACAGGAGCTACCCCTACCCCTGTGCTCTGAGCAAGCTATGCTGTCAGTGAATATTCACAGTGACAAACAACATTTTTCGGTGTATCGGGCCCCGGACAGAATATTTGCTTCTCAGTGCCTGTTCACATGACGTCCGTTTTGTGTGCTTACCTGATCCGTACGCTCCTGCACTCAAAATGCATCCCAATGTATCCCTATGTGTTTTATGGGCTACAGTTCTCACATGCGCTGTCCGTTCAGCTTACGACAGAAAAATACTGCATGTCACATTTTGTACGGTCAGGAAACAGTCAGGAAACGCAAACGCGCCAAAAACGCACTGCACTGCAGCTAACATACTAACAGTCAAAACGCACTGCATCAGTAGCACCGCTTCTGCAGATCCGGACCGGATCAGGACCTGAAACTCATGTGAGCAGGCCCTCACTCTCAGCCAAGAGACCGGGTAGAAGTTTTACTGGGGTATATTCAGTGATATTTAACAGTTCCTCCTTATAATAATAAATAAAATTAAAAATCTATCTTCAATTATTATCACTAATAAGATAATACGAAATGGACATTTCTAGAAAAAAAAAAAAAAAAAAGAAGAAGAATTCAGACACAGATGCGCAGAAGACGCTGTGATTTAATATTACATTAGGCGCTGCGACAATGCAGGAAAATCTTTTCTTATTAGGAAAGTTCTGGTGTGAAACAAAATCTAAACGGATTAATGTAAAGATGGTTTGGAAGTATAAATGACGGTAACATTGTACAGCATGACAAGTAATGAGAGAGGGGACTCACCATGGTCTCCTGGTGGGATCAAACGCTTTGTCCATGAGAGAGCCGGGGTAGATCCGCAGCACCCCATTGGGCGTTGCTATGTAACGGCGCACAATGTAGCTGTTCAGATTGCTCATGTCCATCTGTCTCATCCATTCATCGGTGACGTGACTGGTAGCCATGACCTCATTTCTGACAGAGAACTGCGAGAGAAAGCCACATGTAGAAGGGGACGCCTTAAGTGTATGAAAGGATACTAATCTCTCCCCGGGATCTCTCCCAAGGGCTGGCCTGTTATACTAGCTGGCAGATAAGAACACATCACACTCCCTTCTAGGCTAGCTGAAAGATGAATGCCAGGCAAAGACAAAAAAAACCACACCACAATGTATAATGTTCCTTAAAACAAAGTATCTAAACCCAAAACCTTTCTTTATTAAAGCTAAACTCCGTCCTTCCCTTCAGTCTTGCACAGTTGTACCGGCTCCTCTCCTGCACTGAAATTGCTTTCTCTCATTTCACTGCACACTGCGAGCTTCTCATTATGTGCATTAGAAGCTGCAGCAAGTCAGATAGGGCCCGCCATCATCTAGAACTTTCCTCCCCAGCCTTACTGGCCCACACCTTTCATTTATTGGATTTCAGTTCTTTGAATCATGGAGGCTCAGCATCACATATGGGCATTACCGAGGGTGATCTGTATGCAAATGCACCCTGCTTAGAATTCCAACTGCTCCAAAAACGGACAACCACCCATCAAGGCATTTTGATATTTACATAACTCTTCCCAAAAGACAGCCCACTGCTTGCATCAGGGCTGAGGGCCCTTGAGAGGAGTACCGAGGCAGGGTGCCCTGATATTTCCAGGAAGCTACGTACCCCACCACTGCTGGCCCCTGTGACTGGGCATGACCTGCCTGCATTGCATAGGGAAGTACAGAAACCCAGTCATGACATCACTGGGTCTTAAATAATGTATGCAATGTATGTGACTGGTCCCTCAAAGCCTCTTCCCTTTGCTGCCTAACCGTTTGCAGCTGTTGAACATCTGAACAGTGACTGCAGTTGATTGGCTTCACTGCTTGGCCAACAATTATCGGCCCAGCTCCTTCGATTTTTCAGTCACAGATTTTTGAAAGGATGAGGTGAACAGGGCCACCCAAGGCTCAAATTTCGAGCCCTGGTTGGCCAGCTTAACTCAAACAATCTTACAATTAATGGTACCCATTACTATAACTCAGGGGCAGGGCCGTCCTTACCATCTTGTCTTGAATTGTATTTTAACTGTAATGTCTTCCTTATATTGTAAAGCGCTGCGCAAACTGTTGGCGCTATATAAATACTATGTAATAATAATAATAACTAAAGGTGCAATGGAAATAATAATTGTATTCCAAGAACTAATCCGGCTTCCCTTATGGGTTCAGGATGACATTTTTCATTCCCTGTGAGGATGACATGGCAGCTATGTCTTCTTTGGGGCTAAATCTGCTGGAGTTTGGAAAGAGGTTTACGTGTGCATGTAATGCCGTAAAATCTGCTTAACATTCACAAGACTCGTACTAACCTTCAGTCCTGGATTCGCAATGAGACGAGTATTATCGCTCAGGTACGCCGTGTAGTGTTCAACCATCCTCTTGGTCTCGGGCTGACTCAGATGCTCGTACGGAGAAGAGAAGCAGCCGGCAGCCAACATAACAGTGGGGCTTTCTGAAAGCCAAGATAGCATTTATTAAAGAGGACCTGTTGTGCCACTATGAAAACAGTATATAAACAGCAGAAAAGAGAAATCAATGGTTGCCATTTTTTCAGGTTATACTTCTGGCAAATGGCATTTTCTAATAAACAATATAAAATGTACCTTCTCTACCAAACACACTGAATGTTCAAACATAAATATCTAATTAAGCCAACTAATACGTAAACAAAGCTTTCCAAGCATACTAAATATGTGAGCATAATGCATACTCCTCTTAAATGGCCTGCTTTTTCTAGGGACATTGGTATGCTGAGCAATCTGTCTTCCATAGCTAGGCTGCTTCCAAAAATGAAAGCTGTCGGGCTGTTACTGCTGATTCTGTTAATGCTGCTTTGAGTCAGTGACCAAGAACAAGCAAGCAGATCTGTGAAGTCAGAGAAGAGTTAGCAGTTCCTATCAGCATAATTCTTCAAGGTGACTGACTCAATGTACTAAGGGCAGAAGGTCAACGTGACAACCAGTCAGCTAGCATTCCAACAATATGATGCAGCAGTAACAATCTAGCCCTACAGATAGAAGAATGTACAACCCAAAAGTTGCATGTTTCTGAAGACCACTGCCCTTATGAATAAATGTGACAGGTGCTCTTTCCACAGGGTGGGACATTATGAGAGTCAGAAGACAGGGCAGCAATTTCGATCTGATGCAAGTTACCTAGAGTTGCCAGCTGTTTGAAGTGAAGGCATGCGGTGGGCTGGCCCAGCAGGTCGAGGCGATGGTATAAGAGCTTGCTGCTGGGAACCGTGTTCAGGTTTTTCAGCTGTTTCACTGGTATTTCTGGCTGTATCATCACAATGCACAAAATGAACGAGGTATCCTGAACCTGGAGGAGGAGATTGAATGGCAACGTGAGGGGAAAGCAATTATTCTTTTCTTCCCTTTTTATGCAAGCAGCATTGTAGGTACCCTTCTCCTCTCCTGATAGCGGGTGGTCCTTGATGATGCAGACAGCAGTGCCACTCTCTACATCAATACACTGTTAGCCCAGGGTGCTGAGGTGAAGCCCCACACTCACAGTATGTCCTCAGTCTCCCAGGTTGACTGATGTCCAGGGTCTCTTGTGGCAGGGAAGACGCACAGCAGGGAATGGCGGGCCTATCCAAATTGATACCACGTCATACCAGGAAGTAGCAGAGGACTGAGACGCTTGTATTTTACCGGCCGGATCTTTCGTTTTAAACTGTGAGTCACTTACGTTTTTATTAATAAACGTTTATGTATACTGCACCATGAGGAGATTTCCTTTTTAATTATATAAATCGCATTGGACGTAACATTGCTGAAAGTAACATCCGGGATGTGGACCCTCTGATTCATCATCTCCGCTATACCATTTCAGCTGAGGGGTGAGTGCGCACCCCGAAGGGGGACACTTTGGAGACACATATACACGTCGGTGTGGGAGAATTTATTCTATTCTGTTAGAGTTTTATTGGATCCACTTGAAAACTTTTTTGCACAGAACGTTAATCATTTTTCCACGAGAAATGAAGCACTATTAAGAATTGGTTTTAAAACTGGTTGTTATCTGTACCCTCACTCAAGGACTATAATTATCTTTATCACCACAGTGTGAACACACACTCTAATGTTCACATTAGAGGTGAGGAGATTAAGGGGGGATATGATTTCCATGTACAAAATGTTTAATGGTGGTAGCAACATTAGCGATAAACTGTTTAAAATTAACTCCGTTACAAAAACTAGAGGCCATCACCTAAAATTGGTGGAAAAAAAATTCCAGCACAAGGGGCGAAGGGGGTTCTTCACAGTAAGATCAGTTAGGGTCTGGAACTCACTGCCACAGGCGGTGATTTCAGCAAATAATGTGGAATTGTTCAAGAAACTTTTGGACGATTTCTTAAGGGACCGTAATATACAGGGGTACAGGTACTCCTAGAATGAGATCCTAATAGGTTGGACTTGATGGACTAATGTCTTTATTCAACCTCAAATACTATGTAACTATGTAACTATGTAACATCATTTTAACCTACATTTTTGGATATTCACTGTATATAATGGTTTATAAGATTATTTAATATTGTGTGATATTTATTTAAAATACCGAGTCATTACACGCTGCCTGGCTTCCTCAATGGCGCTTTCGGTATCGGAATTGGAGAGTACTGAAAGCAAATATCGGTACTCGTACTTGATACCGAAAAAACGGTATCGGTGCATCCCTAATCACCATCATAAAACCAATGGTAATACAATATATACCCCACAGCGTAGATGGAGAAATCTGTTGCACTTTTTCCATCTGACCATAGAGAATCTGCAGATAATAGGTGTCTATAGGTGTATGGCCAGCTTAAGAGTGTGGAAGTCCCATATGGACACTCTTATCCTAGACAGGGATAAAGGCCCAGCAGAAAATTAAAACCAGCCCAACTCCACCCAAAACATGAAAACCCCCTTTTAGGTAAAACTCTGGCCATCTAAACGCAATGGGTTTCCAAGGTTGGACTGCTCAGCTCTGGAAAAAGGCCTAACAGGGTAACTAAAGTTCTTTAATTGCAGAAGGAATTTCCAGCAAAACGGCCCGAGATGAAAATCCTCTTTGAGACGAGTTTGCATAGTCAAGTGCTCGGGGTAAATTCTCCAAGCAGAAGCTTATTTCCAGGACGTGTGAATTAAATAACCATTGTCCCATCACAAAATGTTATTACGACTCCATGGATTATAATCAAGAGGATGAGGCTGCTGTGCTGTCTTACCATTTTCCAGGCGTAGCTGACATTATACGCCTCCTTCCCAGGGTTCCGCAGCTTGTTGATGTGCCAAGACAGCGAGGAATTCACAGGCACTGTAATAATCTGACTGCCCAGGGGGAGGCTGCGGAGGAAACACACACTGATAAGTCTCAGGCAAACAAATATGAGAGCCAGCCCCTGACAGAGACCTAACCGACTCATCCTGCCGCGCAGAGAATTGTTATCATTGCTCGGCTCGACCTCGGCAAATCGCTGAAACGTCTCTAAATTACAGTGTTGCTGCTGCAGGGAGAATTGGAGCGTTATTACATCCGTGGGGAAGAGTGGCTGCGTGCTTGATAAAAGGGACAGTAACTGCTGATGTGTCCTCGGCTTAATTGTGTTTAACACAAGAGAATGCAAACGCAGTGTAGATTTATTTTATTCCTCCTCTATAGTGGTGACTCACATCTGTATTTAAATGATCCTATAGCAACAGGTTCACTTAAAGTGGACCTGTACAAAAAAAAAAAAGGTATATTTGCTATGTTATAGGAAACATGTAGAATTGTTAAAGGAGTCTGATCAATACCCTGAGAAAACATGCCATTTGTCTGGAATTCCTCCTAAAAAATAGCAGTGCACTTCCTGGAATGTGAGTGTGCCTAGGCACTGCTGTAGCCTCATGTATGTCTCTTTACTCTACAATCCCACAGGACTAATTAATGTAGCCTCATATATGTATCTGCAGCGCAAGATCATCTAAGGCACTGCTGCCTCCGACTGCCAGTCTCAGGAGATTTGATGATATCACTACTGTCCTGCTAACTGTTCTCCTTGCTGGAGGCTCAGGCATGAGGAAGCAAAACCCTGCCTCTGCCCAGATAGCCAACACCACAGACAAGGAAGTGAGTAATGGCAAAAAATTAGCTGCAGGGAGACCGCATGTAATATCAGGGGACATGTCCTTTGCCCTCTACCTTTTTATTAGGGCTGGTAATGATTAACATTTTCGTGTTCGATTAATCAAATTTGTTTTTAAATTGATTAATTGATTAAATTTCAATTATAACGCACATACAGATCCAACTTCATTGGCCTATACACATACAGCACAGCAATGAAGTAATACAATGAACTAGGATCACACTAATCCAGCGTGTTATTAATCTCACGTGCCCCACTCAATATGGCCGCCGCTTGAGTGGGGCAACTCAGAATAATAACGTGCTGGATTAGTGTGATCCTAGTTCAGTGTATTACTTCATTGCTGTGCTGTATGTGTATAGGCCAATGCCTTGGCTGGCGCTCGTGCAGAAAGTTTCTTGGGCAAACTCACCGGCCCAAGTGGCTCCGTTGGCTAACAAAGGGGGGAGGAGTCCAGTGACGTTACGGACAGACCTCATCGGACTCCTCCCCCTTCCCTTACTTAGCCGTCACGGACATTGACGACACCGGACTCCTCCCCCCTTCCCGTTAGCTGACTGGGCCACTTGGGGAAGGGGGGAGGAGTCCGGTGACGTCGATGTCCGTGACGTCGCTGGATCGCCGACGGAACTCACGCAAGCCGGCGCAGAGGTGAGTGTTTTAATTAGCGATCAAAATAATTTTAATCGATCAAAAAGTTTAACGATTAAATCGAGAAATTAATCTTTAATTTCCACAGCCCTACTTTTTATTTTTTTATTTTGGAGCACATCTTCCAGAGTTTGGTTCCTCTTTAAAGTGTGTGTCAGTGGAAAAAATAACAAAAACAAAAAATGTATGCACATCCTTTCTCTATGGGAGTATGCGGCCGTATGCCACCCTACGCTCACCCGCCCTGCATGTCCGTGAGGGTGTCCGCACTCGTACGCTGAAAGGATGGATCCCGTCTGCGCCCTAGCCAGGACACCCGAACGGACCTGCCCTTGGGGTGAGCATAGGGCGGCATAAGGCTGCATACTCCCATAGAGAAGGACGGGGGCTGTGTACTAATCACACGCAGCACCTGTCCTTCCCGGGAGCTGCCCGATACGGCTGTGCACGCAGCACGGAGCTGTACGTGCCGGCCGTTTCTGATGTGAATGAGGCCTAAAGGAGAGGGGCAGACTCACAGGGTTTCAATTTCCTCTATACTATAGAGCAGTGAAAGATCAGACCCCGCTGACATAGTTATATCCAATCTGGGTGCAAAGAAGAAGAAAAAAAGCAAAGCACCCGTGGCTGCTGGAAATGCTCATTATTGCCTCCCCCCCCCCTGTTTAAGGCCGGGAGAGAGTTCTCAGTCATGACCTTTCTCTTCACTTCTGTTGGTCAAACAGGGCAACCAAAAGCCAAGGAAAGTGGAGTATGTGCAGCTGGCGAGGAGTGCAGTTAGGTTTACTTTAATGTGACCTTTGACCCCCTATGACTGCCTCAGCAATGCCGGTTTTTGTATTTCTATCCAAATAGGTTCCTTACACTTTTAGGTACAACATTTAATTGGGGAGTGGGGGCGGGGTTAATAAAAACAAAATTGTTGAAACTGAAATTTCCTGATCCCCAAATAACCCTTAGAAGAATGTACTAAATTTGGAAGGGAACCAAACTGAGTTGACATTTTTTTTTTTTTTACTTTACCACAGTTGCGGTGTTTCTTGGTTAACATTATTTAACTGATGCACATTTTAGGGAGTACTGTCATATCATACAAGGGGCCTGTGCTTTTGTTTATGAATGTGGCTAAATATTTGTGTACAGATGTAACATTTCTTCAACCCATTTCCTTACCTGAGAATATTCTGGCGAACCAGAGCGAACTTTGGTATGTTCTCGTAGTGTGTGATATCTGTGTGCAGCGGAGGCTCTACCAATAGATAGGGTCTGGTGAGCGAGGGATGCATCAGAGTGTAACCTAGAAGGAAAGAGCAGAAGGGACAACAGATGAAAATGTCTTCATCTGTAACAAAGTATACCAACGGCTCAGACTAGAGACACTCTAATACAATATAAGGCCAAAAGGTTTGTGGGCACCTAACCAGAACACTTATATGAGCTTGTTGGACATCCCATTCCAAAACCAAGGGGCATCAATGTGAAGTTGTCCCCCCTTTGTGGCTACAACGGTCTCCACTCTTCTAGGAACACACAAGATTTTTGCATGAGTTGGAATTTGATCCTATTCAGCCAAAAGAGCATTTGTGAGGTCAGGTATTGATGTTGCATGAGAAGACCCGGCTCATAATCAGCATATCAATCCTTTCCCCGAGGTGATCAGTAGGGTTGAGGTCAGGACTCTGTGGAGGACACTCGAGTTCCTCCACACCAGGTACCCGATGTTGCATGAGAAGACCCGGCTCAATCAGCATTCCAATCCTTTCCCAGAGGTGATCAGTAGGGTTGAGGTCAGGACTTTGTGGAGGACACTCGAGTTCCTCCACACCAGGTACCCGATGTTGCATGAGAAGACCCGGCTCATAATCAGCATTCCAATCCTTTCACAAAGGTGTTCAGTACAGTTGAGGTCAGGACTTTGTGGAGGACACTCGAGTTCCTCCACACCAAACTCTTCAAACCGTGTCTTTATGGAGCTGGCTTTGAGCACAAGGGCAGAGTCATGCTGGAACGGAAAAGTCCCTTACCCAAGCGTCTGCCAAAAGGTTGGAAGAGCATGATTGTCTAGAATAATATGCACAAACAGCACCTTTCACTGGAAACATCCGAACTTCATAATTTGGCCATACGGTTGTAGGTGCGGGGATCAAGTGTTTACAAACTTTGGCCATACAGTATAGCAGCCCACGTGTCAGTGTTCTGATTTGAACACTAGGAGGCGCCAGAACACAGTGTTACATAGACAAGTCTGCCCCCTAACTATTGCAGATCATTGTAGAAAAGCAGCCTATACTGCTGGCAGCCACAGCATACTAACTTTTTAAAAGGTGGAATCTGTAAGAGACGCAGAAAATTTGCTGTTTAAAAGGGAAATTATATTTTCAGTTTCTCTTTCTGAGTCCGTATTGCGGTATTGGGATGTCTGCAGAAATATAATTTCAAACACCAACTTTCATTCTTTTATATGCTTTCCTTTCTATAATTTATGACTTTTTCATTATTATAACACCATAAAAGCTTATAAGAACAGAAGAAGTAATTGCACGTCTCATTCCAACACCTATCCTAAATAAATTTAAAGGATTATTCCTCATTTTAGGACAGTGGGTAGAGCCATTGCATATCACCCCAAAAGCCAGAACCGCCGTTGTATACTGCAAACATAGTCTATTATAGAGCTATGTTTTCCAAACTACATACGTCTGTTTCAGGATAGTTGGGCATCATCAGTGCAGTGTATGGAAACCATGGTTTCTTTGGAGTATGCACTGCTCTAGTGATAAGAAAATAGGGCAAATATTGCCTTATATCCGGGGTAGGCCACCTTTGCAAACCAGCTGTGGTGAAACCTCAAATCCCATCATGCCTCTGGGAGCCATGCCTGGGACGGCTGTCAGTATTGCAATGCCTCATGGGACTTGCAGTTCCACAACAGCTGGCTTGTCAACGTTGCCTACCCCTGCCTTATGTTATAGAGCCGGAGTGGGCAACCTTGGCACTTCAGCTGTTGTGGATCTACAAGTCCCATGAGACATTGCAGTACTCTGCATTTGGGAGTCATGCCTGAGGCTGTCAGAGGCATGAAGGAATTTGTAGTTGCAGCACAGCTGGAGTGCCTAGGTTGCCTACCCCTGCTCTATAACATAAGTCAGGGGAAGGCAATTTATTCCAAGCGACATACAGCTGTTTCAGATTGCCCATCATTAGTGCAGTGTGTGGAAACCAAGCCCTCCATAGAATGCCGTGTGGAATAAATGGCTTTATCAGATTAGGCTATAGCCACACTATACACCAGCGGCTCTGGGTGTACACCTGGCTGTTAGGGCGTTAGGGAATGATTTGCATGGCTTCACTCACTGTAAAGTATCTGTGGAGGAGAAACATTGTCACCCGAGGGCAGGAAGTGTGCTAGGACTACAGAATACCTCCCCTCATCTCCAGTGGAGTCAGACAGAGTCTCCCTCATTCTGTCCAGGATCATGTAGCTCTTTTCTCTCCAAGCTGACTGTCCCTGGCCTGCCCCTATCCTTTAATGCATTTCACTATCATGAAGCCTCAACATCACAAGTGGGTGTTACCACAGTTTCCCGTTTTAGGAACCCATGTACAGCTCCCTGTTGGCCAGGCCCCTCCCACAAGCCATGATCTGAATTGCAATGCGTAGAGAAGCACAAAGACCCAGTGATGATGTCACTAAGTCTATGGAAAGGTCTGTAATGAAAAGAGAATGGGTTTCTTTTTGTGATTTCATTAGCATGTTGATGAGAAAGGGGAGGAGGGAACTAGGTAATGCAAAATGTAAGCAGATTAAACTTCAGACTGCACGGTGGTTTCGAAAGCCGCAGAATTCCGTGTACAAAATCAGCCCGTGTTCTAAACTGGCTGGCTGCAATAGCTGCCAAGGTTGTAAAACCATCTTTAATGAGCCAAGGAACCTGGCGCTAGCCTTACAAAGCTGTTTACCTTGCAGGTTGGTCCTTCTGTTATTTGATCTTAAGAAGGGAATCTTTTTTTTTTCTCTTAGAGCCACTTAATGTTTATCTGTTCGGAAGCCAAAATCTGCGGCAGCCAGACCAGTTCAGGATACCCGGATATAGTCTCCGCAGAGCTTTATTTATCGTGAGATGAATGAAATCCGAGTCTCTCAAGGTTACGAGGACGACTGGATGGAATGCGCCGCGGCGTTGTTACAAAGATACCTTTGTTATCGATGAGGAATGTGTACGAGCCCAGGGAGTCCTGGTAGTAGGTAACGTCCTCGAGGATGTACGCAAGATTAACGTCAACGCCCACGATTCCCAGGAGCAAGTTTCCAAAATAACAAGGCTTGCTGACCGTCATGATCAGTCCTGAAAGGCACAATGCAAAGGTGGAAAATATTATGCATCTATTTACCCCAAAAATTGCTTGGAATCCATATAAATGAAAAAAAAAACAAAAAAAAAACAAAACACACAACCCAAAAAAGTCAGTCAAACATAAATCAGTATTTCCTATTTTAAATGGAACCTGTGCTCGTTCCATAGTGGGCAAAGTGACAGCTTTCCTTTGCAGCAGCGCATACTCAATTTTTCTTGCTCCCCCTTCCACTCTGTCCAACTGCCGTGAGCAGGATAGGACGCACCATGTAAGCTACAAGTGACTCAAGCGTAGCTTGCATATGGCCATGGATGATCCCCTTGTGAATGCTCTGATGTATGGTGATTGGTCCAGCACTGTCACATGATGGGAGTCACTTGCTTCTCCCCACCTGGAAGTACTGGGTGACGTCTTGCTTACAGCACCTTAGCAGAAAGCTATATGCTGTCGGGAAGGGGGGGGGGGGGGGGCCTTAAAGCAAACCTGTTGCTTTGCTCTGCATGTGGCACCCCTGACCCGGTCACTGAGCCATGTGTGGAGAAGGGAGGGAGGAGACTCCCTGCCCCTCACTTGTTCGTTAAGGATGAGGCATCTAGATTGATGCCGTCAGAGGTTTTTTTTTGTTTCTTTTCTTTGATTGGATGGCTTGGACCAACAGCACTTTGCCATTGGTTCAGACCATTCACAGAGGTCAAGCCTCCGACTTCAAATCAGAGGCTGTTGTAGCTCTGGCCTCACTGTGTTAGGTTAGACACAGCAGCGGGGAAGCTCACTGATGCATAACCTTACATGGCTGTCTAAAACCAGTTGTAGCGCCTGTAATTAACAGGTGGCACTACGTCCATGACAGGTAACACAGCGGGGAGGCATTGCAAGACTGACAGTTACAGAAATGGCTCCCATAGGCAGGAGCATGTAGGGATTTACAGTTAAAGCACAGCTGGAGGGCCAGAGTTGCCCACCTCTGCTCTACAGAAATAATTGGCT